TCTCTTTTACAGACTCATTTTAAAAAGCAAAATGCCACCTTTATCCTTCCAGGAAAGGAATGTGCTTCCAATAAATTAAAGTGCATATGAAAGCTGCGTGGGAAACCAAAAGAAGGAATTTTAGTTCTGAGCTCCAATATTGTTGCCTCTGTGAATGCAGATAAATAATAACAGGAGCCATTAAACTTAGAAAAGGCCATCTGGCTTCTTTTCCCCACAGCTTACTCTGTCTAGTGAGGCCATGTGAGATGAATATACAACACACACTTTACAACATTGGTTTTTCGAATTTGCTACAAGTTTCATTTTTGTCTTCTRCCCCCTTCCTCCAAACTTGCTAAATGTAGGTGTCTGCCACAGATTCTAAACTGTAACTGGAAGAAGGGCGAGTGTGATGGCAAAGCTGCCTTGAGAGTAACTTCATAACGATTACTGCAAGAAAGAGCAATATATCATAATATTTTCTCCATCTAGTAACACTTATCAGCCTCTGCTAGGCCAGCCTCGAGGGATTAGAACTTGAAGCTGAATTCCAGGGTTTCATTTGCTGTACAGTCTGCTGCAGTTGGAGCTGTAAGGCAATTAAGTATATTTCTTATAGATTCTTTTGAAAGAAAACAAAAAACCTGTGTGGCATCATCTTCACTTATTATACTTGTCTGTATATAAATCTAATTTTTTTCAACAAGTATTTTCTCAAGCAAATAGGAATGTWTCAGCACCAGTTTTTGGGTAGGAAGAGGAACACTACAATGGCMAATAGTAACAATGAAGACAGCAAGATGATCCTGTGATTACTGTGGGTAAATGYATACCTTCCTTTTACAGCTCTGAGATTCACAAAACCGGGAAAGACTGGAGCATCTTTCAAACCTAAACATCTTTGACTATTTAGCACAGCTTGGACATTGAGCAGGARCCAAAGCACTGCAGAAAAGTACCGAAAGGAGTTCACTACTCTGGTGATATTTTTCRGTCCATTTTATGTGATCCTGTGTATGAACATGCCCCAAAAGGCACCTTCCAGACACRTTCCTTTTCTGTGTTTAAATCCCTGCCCACACTGCACGATGCACAAGGAGGTGAGCACAGACCCCAGCCAGCTCTCCAGGGATCATTCTTCCCACGAAGCCACCTCGCCTCCTAATCACTCTGCTCCTCTTCAATTTGGGGCTCAATCCAATTATCTTTCCCAAGAATGACCCCTTACATAGAACTGTGAGAAGAGCAGATGAGATTTAAATCTGAATAGCCCCCTGAATCTGTGAGGCACAGGTTTAGAGAGTGGGTTGAGTGGGGGACGGTGTGTCGGGGTGAAAAGACCAAATCTGGGGAAAAGACTTTTATAGGAATTATTGCAATCATCTCATAGGCTTGGGTCCAACAGACATCTCCAACCCACAGCAGTGGCAAACTGCCAAACTGCTTGCTAAAAGGTTTTGTGGGTTTTCAGCTTTTTTTTTTGGATTGTTGTTTTTGGTTATTATGCGTCTCTCTTGGTTGTCTTTCTCGTCGCATCTTCTGCAGCCGGTATCAACAAGCTTGAGCAAACATACCTGACTGTAATAACCTTAGCTAATTACCAGCATTTTTCTATCAATACAGAGAGCTGCCCTTTCAACCCTCCTTGCCTTTATTATTTGCCTCATATGCCTGCAGAGTAAGTGATTGCTGAGATGTCCATGAGGCAGGCAGATGACTAAAACATGACAATGTTTCTCATCCAAATCTGTGTGTGGAGCTCGTAACAGGGAKTTTTACCTGRGTCCCCTCAATTCCCAAGTGTTAGYCACTTYCTTTCCAACCACAGATTTCCTCTGTCTGGAAGTTGTTGGTGTAATACTGAAAGAGGCTTGTAGCCCCTGAGGAAATACTTAGCTGGAAACCCACATCCTTTCTCAGAGAAATCTCTCCAAGTATTACCAGAAATGAAGCCACATGCACCTCGTTTCTGGTCAAACAACCATTTCATTGATAGGAAATTTCAGGTATAATTTTGTGGGATGATTAACTTATATGTCTCAATCTTAGAAGATTTWAAAAAAACCCACCAACAAAAAAACTGAGTTTCATCTTTTGTAAATGAGTTTTGTATAATTGCAAAAATAACACAGTATTTCTGAGGAAAATTCAGTGTCAAGTGCATCCAGCAATTTAGGATGTCTGATGATGCACAATCACTGAAATTAATTACCATAATCTTCCAGAATTGGTTCTAATTAGCTGATGCCTTCCCCCTAGAATATCTCTGAAGCAGTTTCATATTGCAAATCCATGCCAATGTTTTTTCCCCAAAAGCTCAAAGTTAGCAGTGGGGATATTTTGTGGGGTGGGGAAGACATAATTCAGCTGATCTGGTTGTTAAATCCATACAAAAGCTGAAAGTAGACACTGCTATCTGTAAAGCAAGGATGTTAAGACTATTAAGATTTTAGGGGTGAGAKATTAAAGGGTGGGGAGAGGCTTGGAGCTTAAGATTCATGGCACAGCCTGTATTGGCATGAAAACAGATATCCTCCCATGGCTGTGAGGAGGGTGATGGCCAATGGAGTTTTTCCTCTGGAATATCCTCACATGGCTCACCACAGAATCTCACTTTGAATTTGTAAGACTGAGCCATTTTTGCAGGCTTTTGGAGAAAAACAGAGGGAAGGATGTGCTACTGAATTCTTGCTGGTTGTAGTATGTGGGAGGGTAATATGGGGAAATATTTCTTATGGTGAGAAATGGACTTTTTTCTCCTCTGYGTAAAAACACTTTGCACTGTAACAATTGATTCCTTTAAAAAATAAGAAAGACAGACTATCTTATAAGCTCTTCCAAATCCCACAACATTTGTTATAGTCAGTGAATGCCTTTCATAGGGATTGCTAAAGATAWAGCCTCTCTGCTTCTTTGTATCTTCACAAAAGCTTTTAAAAATGTGAACTTATATCTGCAGGAAACAACTATTATTAATGAAGCAGCTGGATTTCTTTTTAAATAGGTTACTTTGCAGCCATTTGCTCTGCTAATTATTAAACAGAAATGCTGACATAGATCTACAGTGCTTTGGGATATTCCATATTATCTAAAGTACATTTTGAAAGCATTTTAGAAGAATAACCCATATCTGAAGTATGAATTGAAGCTGTATAATAATATACATGGAAAACAGCTGCAGAAATTATTAGCTCACATTTCCCCCCAGCAGTTCTGCTTCCAAATATACCCAATGCCATGTGAGAAGCATTGCTCCACAGTAACATCATAATTCTGCTGATGCCAGTTTCTATTAAAGTATCCTAATAAGTAGTAACTATTCTGATAAATGAATGCATGTGAAATAAACCTGGACTAGAGATATCATACTAGAGCACTTCAGAGAAAAGAAATTCTCTCTCATGAATTATTTCTGGACTTGTTTTTACTCTCTTTTATGAAATTCTGCACACACACACACACACGCACACACACACACATATGCACAAAACAGCGTTTCAGACCCAGACAAATCTTCCTGGGGCACTGGAAAATTAGAGAGCAGGGAAGCTGCAGGTACTCAAATCAGGGGCAGTCCCTCTGCTGCAGATGGATAGAGAGATGAACCAGATAGGAGAGGGGAGTAATTTTTGAAAGCTACCTAACTTTTAAGACATAGATGATATCAARCACTCCATAAACATAACCTGATTTTGAGAAATCATCAAATTCTCATGGGAAACTGTGGTGCTGGTATGTTTCGGACAACATAACAGATATCTGTCATGWGTCTGGACAATGGAAAATGAAAAATCATTGGGGAGAGTCAGTGAAGAGAATGAGAAGAAATGTTAGAGAAAAATTACTGTGGAATAATCAAAACCAACAGGAAGGGAGAAAGTGCCTCGAGGTATCCACGGCAATGGCTCTGTTGGCTCTCAGGGTTGTATCCTTCCCTCCAAATGCTCTTCTCTTGTGGCTGCCCCTCTTCCCAACAAGTACTGCCTGCATGACTTTCTTTCACCCTTCTCATGCCAATCTTCTTTCTGAACTGTTGCTTTTCCCTCCTGCTTATTCGCTTTTTTCTCTTACCAGTTCCTTCTGCCTGCTACCAAAGCATCCTTCTATCACCATCACCGAGACTTTCATGCAAATATTTCCACAGCTCCCTGCTGAACGTCTCTCCTTTGGGATACCCCTTCAAACAAGTTCCCAAACCCACAGGACTTCCTGCCCTGAGCTTGCCTACAACCCCAGGTTTACCATTCTGCAGGATGGAAATGGTAARGCAGTGAGCTACTAAGGGCCGGTGTTTACTTTTTATGACAAATCTGAAACACTTGACATTAAAATTATTCACACAGGGTATTAGGTTAGTGGGTCTCTGGAGCATTTCCAGGGGTTCTGTTAAAAAAGAGACTATTTTAGGATAAATTTGGGTCACAGAGGGGGTCATCCTTTCCTTTCACTTTTCTAAGAAAAATGAAATACATTTTTGCCAGCATGTTACTCACATTTTCTGTAGCCCTTCTTTAACGTTTACTAAGAACCCTTGGGGGTTAATTAATGCCAGGACATTTCACCCATGAACTATTTTTGAATCCAATTTGTTAAATGCAAGTAGCCATAAATATTATAAATCAATTACTAAGTATATTCTACGCTTCACCAACCAAAAAAATCATAACAGAGTATTTCTGAARGTGATTGAGAAAAATGAACCACTTCCATAAAGCCAGGCATTTATGTTTCAATTTATCTTTTCTTTCACAAAAACACAATGTGAAATACATTTCACTAAATACAGGAACTACTTCTGTAGAAGAAATCAATTATATTCTGAAGTTTAAATCTTCTTTTTTTCCAGCTGTGCACTAATGTATTACTGTACCTCAGAAACATACCCTGGGGAAAAGGCTTCTATTCTTTACTAAAAATCCATGAATAACATTATGTAGAAATTAATTTGTGATAAATGATTTAAAATCTTAACCTAGAATGGTGTCTTATTCAAATGTCATCAGAAAATGGCACCTCACCCGCAGGAAGGAGTCAAGGGATCCATTCTCCATGTATTCAACTACAATCATTACTGGTCTGCCTGCAAAATAGCAAAGAAACACATTAGGATTATGGACATATTATGGGGCTTTTATAATTCTAGCTGTTCTGCACAGGCTATTCACAGTAGTTAAAGATGTAAAATATTTCCAAAATTCCCACTTATATCACAAACACAATTCCCTGTGTTACTCTTCAGGAATTATTTACTATCCTTTTTTTTTTGGTTGTTGTTCTTACTGGATTAGCTCAATGCACATCATTCATTTTGGTGTGTTCTCACTTAAAGAAGAGCCTGCTATTTCCAAACAGCAGAACTTACTGTGCAATATTTTGGAACACATCTGAATTAAAGCAAACCCTAAATATTCATAAGCCATGTCCAAGTAATTACAAAGTCAGTGTCATAATTTTCTGATCAAAGAAAAACATCTCAGTGATGTAGGAACATAAAAGACAGATAGAATGTGACATCACAGAAAAAGCTCTCCTAGGTTTGCTGTGTGCATTGGATGTGTACAATCCAGCAAAACTCTGAGTTTATGTGTTTGTGAATACATAAAATATACACAGTGTTACTCAAAGAAAGGTGCTGCTCAACCAGCACAGTCCCGGGGTGACACCATATCCAAATTGAAGCAGAAAAACACATTTCATTTATTTCTTAAAAGGATGTCCAAACCCAAAGATACAATTTTAAACTTAATTTAAGCACCAGTTCACTGCTGGTACCCTTTAAAAACCACCCGTCTAGAAGCGCTTGACAGGAGTGGGGCAATCAGGCTGCTGACCAGGCTGCACAGCAACAAGATTTTTACAATTGTTAATATGACAAAGGAGCCATTCTATATAAAAAAAACTAATGAAGAACATTAACAAGATTAGGAAGGAGGTGAAAGGTCTTAAAATGGCAGACTTTTCTTTTCCTGGGAATGCCCATCTCTTTCGCGGTTTGTGGGAACCAGAGCTCTGCCAAATGGTGACACTGAGTCCACCATTTCACTTCCTCAATTCCTTACTAGCTGTACATCCCTTACACAATATTTTTCAAGCTCAAAAGAAGACTCTTTCATCACTTTTTTTCATCTTCTGCTCAAATKATGTTTGTGATTTATTTGGATGAGGGGATGAGAAACAAACACTGTGTTCAGGCTGATAAAGCRTTTTGATTGTTACAACATAATTGTTCATTTCTGTTCAGTTTGGTTAACAGTGAAAGTATTTATTAAACTGCCCACAATGTACAATAGGCCACAGCCAGGTATTTCTCCTGAGCTGTTACAGTTAACCTTCAATTTACAAAGGGAATGATCCATTTTTGTGTTTGTCCCAGCATGCTGACCCGCAGTTTCGGGTTCCTGGTGATGCCCATTCCCTTAGTCTGCTCTTTCTGTAGTTCCTCACAATATTCCCTCATTTCCTCTAATAAAACTTGTCATTATTTCTGTATTAACTCTCATGTTTATATCCTCAAAGAATAAAACAGTGCTTCATAGTAGTGGCACAATACTGCATTTCTTTTTTTTTTTTTTTTGTGTGAAAACTCTCAGATGCCTTAAAAGTCTTTCTGGATAGCCTCAGGGAAGTGTGAAGAATTACCAGCTCTTTCTTTTTCAACTGAATGTTTAGTCCTGTGCATCTGCCACCAAATCAATCTATTCATCGGCATCCTTTGGTTATACCCTGTTTTTTCATTATAAAAAATACATCACTTTTAAGCTTCTACAGATCAGAGCATTTTAAAAATTTATATTTCCTTTACTTCAGTTTGCTAATGATGACTGGTTGTAGAGCCCAGTCTCTTCTGTTTCAAGCACATGAATGACCCAGATTCCCTTACCTTTATCATTTTCTTACTGTCAGGGCTCTGACAYCTCCACATGAAAGGAAAATCCTATAATCTAGAGAAGTAAACAAACTGCACCTGATGCTAGAGAATCTTACACTGTGCAGAACTGTCTCGAGCAAGTAGTAATTTCTAAATGGTAGCAGACAATAGCATTTTTCAATGAACAGGGATGTGAAGCTGGCCTTCAGATGGTATATTAGATCAGTTATAAGATACCCAGAAATTTCTCTTTCTGGGTACATCAACAACTTAAACATGGAAAATGTGCATTTGAAGGGAAAGGGAAATGGAGTTTTAAAGCAATGCCCCTGGTTTCCTGTGGGCAATCCTTTGGCACTCAACTATCCATAAGCTGCTCTGGAAGGTTCTCTAGAAGTTCACAGGCTCTCATGACAGCTTTTATGCTCCTTAGATTAATTTCCTTCAACACAAATTATTTTCATACTTACTGTGTAAACAGAACTACTAATTCTACATTTTCTCACAAAATATTCCTCCCTCCAAAAACTCCCACAACTGTACTTCCTTTTGCTCAGACCCTAAGATCCTAGCTTAAAGGAACTATGAAATGTATCTGTAAGCATTTATATGTGGATTTAAAGAAGAGCTTTCAGTATTTTTCACTGGACAATGCTTATTTTAGGCACTTGAATGACTTGAAATGATATGGCTGAACACAAAACTGACTCTTCCAAATGATAACACAGGACTGGCACTAAATACACCAAAATAAGCAGCARTTTCCTTCAAAAAGCTTGCTGTATACCAGAAGAGAAGCATATTATCAAAAAATTTAATCACTTTGGCTGATAGCTTCCCACTGACTCAGTGTGTATCACTTACCATCCTACCTGTATTTCAAATGAAATTGATGTGAGATTATGTCAAAACACCACAATGTGTCATGACACCATGAAAACAAATCTGGCTCCATCACCTGATTATCCCAACCACAAATCTTAAATCTGAACACAAAACTAAATTCTCAAATAATCAGTTCTTTAGTGTGACAGCACTTGATAAAAGCCACTTTATTTTGGCTGCAAGTTTAATGTATCCCTGGAGCTCTTTATGTATTCCAAGCTGGACTGTGAGAGTCAATACAGTGAATTTTTTAGTCAKCACAGTGTTTGTCTTTGGAGGACCGGTGGATCAAAAGTGTCTCAGCTATTGTTAAGGTGGCTTGAAGATACAGAAAAAACTCTGGTAGAAAGCAAAACCCAGRGGGTACTTTAGAATAGTACAGAGTCCACAAAAAGTTGTATGTGCTGGACCTCTGTACAAACACAAAATACTGCTTTTGTTTTAAGTTTAAAGGAACTACAAAACTGACTAAAATAATCCTGGGGTATTTCTAAACTAGTCTAGTGTTTGCCTATAAATAAATTAAAAAGGACTACTAGTTATTATGAAAATTCATATTGTTCTCATGGTGCTAAGAATTCTTCATCCTAAAACAAGAACAGGAATGAATAAATGGGAGGGGGCACAGAAGTCTCTGAGACAGAGAAGCAATCTTTGGTTATTTTATCATGGGGTAGGCTAATGCAATGCTGGAAGGCACTGGATTATTTTCCTAGGATTGCTTTTAGTACAAAAGATGGACAAGTTAAACAGGTTTAAGGACAAAGAGCAGTGGGACACAGATGGCAGCAAAGGCACTCCTGGGGTGACAATACCCTCCATGGGTGGCTGCACCTCGTGGGATGGAACACACCCAATCTCCAGTCCAAAGAATTGCCCCATTCAGGGAACTGTTTCTACCCAGATACAGGCACTGGAGAAGGATCTGAAGAACTGAGTTAATTTTACAGTCAAGAGCCACACAAGGGAAGGAATGGAAAAAGAACACTGAAAAAAGTGTCTGCTGAGGGCTTGGAACCAAGGGCCTAAAACTGCAGGTGTTGCTGGAGGAGAGCACACAGCTTCTTGTTTGAATTGGGGGAGGGTGACATAAAAACACTTGAARATAGATTCAATGATCAAATCAATCAAGCAAATCAGACTTTGCAATAGTTTTAGATGCTTAGTGCTGCTGGAGTGAGGAGTACTGCGAGAAAACAGACTTTTAAAGCAGAAGAGTTATATAGTGTCCTGAGTCTATAGGTTTAACCCCAAATATGGTTTTTACACACTGCATATATCACATTTATTATAATTATTATAAGAGATGTATCATTTTACTGCATAGTTAAGATTACAACACGAGATAATAACTGTATTTATACGTGACATACACTGATAGCACAGCCACATTCACTACAAATATTCTCAGCCCAGCTATACGTGTGGGATATTGTCTAAAGCACCTTTCCCTCCTTGCATATGGAGCACCTGTGTCTCTGGCAGATCCATTGCAGAGTTCCACCATCTCAGAAAGCCACACTGAGCACACAAGAGCAGTACTGGGGCTTGACATGAAGCAAAAGGATGGGAATTTAATTTATCAGAATGAGATGAATCTATAGAAGGTGCAGGGGCTGTTCACTGTTTTGATGCAACTCCCACCTTGTGACAAGAGGCTGACTGGTTTTGACAATTTTCCCTAAGAAAGTTTCTTCACTGGAGTTCTCCCACCCTGATGTACTCAATGCCACTCAAACAAAACCAGTGTAAATGACAAACAATCTGTATTGATGTCATGCCACCTCAGAATATGCTGCAATTCTGTATTTTTCATTGATCAATCTGCTTGACATTTTTTTAATAAGCAGGAATGTAAAAAAAAAGAAAATAAAAGAAAGCCATACATKGCCAAATAATGCAAAACACCGATTAAATCTAAAATTAATATTGTATATGTTTTTASTTCTATTTTTTTCACTCAACACAAGATTTTGATAGCATGCAATTTAATTGAGTGCCAGAGTGATGAATAAGGAGGAGAATCTGAAGTGTCATATCAATGACAAAATACTCAGCTTGTTGTCTCCTGTTGTCATTTTAAATAATGCAGCAAAGCCTCCTTTAATGAATGTTTTATGTAAGATTAATCCTCCAAAAAGAATAGTTAGCACATGTTYCTCTTCTACAGACTTGTAATGAAATCTCTAATACCAATTAAGGGAATAGATTTGTTAACATAAATACATGATATTCTTTCACTTTAAACAGCACAGGTTGGCATCTGTTCCCCGGTTCATATTAGAAAATATGAAAACTGTCACTTCTGCAGATCRGAATTCACGTGG